TTTTAGAAGAAACTAATCTAATGTAATTTTTTAAAAAAACTCTTCAAAATGAAAAAAGCACACTTAGAGATTAGTATTCAAACACTAATTAAGGAAGTTTTCTTATAAAACTATTCTACAAGAAATAGAAACATTGCAAAATAGATCAATAAGTCGGCTTTCTCTAGCTATACAAAGTACTTTCAGAAAATTATTCAAAAGAAATTTTTTAATATCAAGAAGCATTTTTAACTTTTTATAAGTCATACCAAATATACCCTAACTCAAATTGCGAAAACACTTATAATGACGCATTCCAAAAGAAAACAAGTTCCTTTCAAATAAACAATTTGTCTAAAGACTATAGAACACATTCAATTTAGCTTAAAAATAAGAAAAAGAAGCCAAAAATAACTTTTAAAAAAAACTTTTTATTTTTTAGAGAAGATTAAGAGGAATTAATTATCCCAATAATCACAAACTTAGGTTGGTATTTTCGATTGCTCACTACCATTTCAAATATCAAGTTTTGGCTACTAAACTTTTGAAAATGTTGAACGTTACTTCCCGGGATGACTTCCGTTTTGCAAATCACGAAGAAAGACGTCTTTGATTGCTCATTGTCTTTGACTGATCACTGTACTTTGCTAGATGTCCTTGATTATTCACTATTATTTAAATTGATCAAATTTTGGCTACTAAACTTCTTAAACTGACTTCTAGATGATATGAAAATTTAGCAATTATCATGGACTCTTCAACAATACTCATACTTTATGATTTGAATTAATAGTTTACATACTAAATACTATAAACCATTCTTTCTCTTATAAAAAATAAGTTGAATCATTCAAGTAATTGTAGTCATATATTCATAAAGCATGCATATTGTTGAAGAGCCCATAAATTTCCGTAACATCTTGACGTGAATTTGAAAAGTTCAATGACTAAAACTCCATCAACTAAAATTATAATAAGCAATCAAAGACATTTGTCAAAATAAAATGAGCAATCAAAAACATCTTTTGTGATTAAACATCAACTATGCAAACGTTAACTATTCGTTACAAATGCAAAATG